TTTGGTATTGTTGATATGAACTTCAACTATATATTATCTGCTTTAGCAGCAGTTACTTTAAAGATGTAAATGCAAACTTCACTTAGACTAATACGTTGTCGGCGCTGTTCGATGCGTTAAGAAAAAATTATGTTCAATTAATAATACTTTAAATATGTGAGTGCAAACTTCACTAATGCTAATACGTTATCGGTGCTTTTCGATGCGTTAGGAGAAAATAATGTTCAATTAATAATAAATTAATAAAAGTCAAATAATATTAATAAAATAAAAACAAGAAGTAAAATTATTATTAACAAAATAAGTTCTTTTTTGTGTATTCTGCGTTATATTTATACTTTTCGTTATATTTAGTTTCATAATATTTAATTTGAACTTAATAAAAATGTAATATTCAAACTCTTTACCTTCGAAACTCAAAAGAAATTTTTAATAAAAAAATTCTTTTAATAGCATTTAGAAAATGTTTTTTGTATCATTATGTCATTGAAGAATTTCACATTTAATATTCAACTTGAAATATTTATATTTGAAGTTAGTTTTAAATCTAACATTAAGAGACAATTGTCTTTACTAAAATATGTTTAGTAAAGCGCAGGAAGCGCAGGGCAACATTGACGAAATATCTCGCAACTGAGCTCCTAACATCTATCGTCTAATTTCTAGAAATGTCAATAATCTTGAGTTACAAGCAATAATAACTATTTAGGTTAAAAGCCTTGCTTTAAATGTGTTAATAGTTTTTGATGGATAGAAATATATTCTCTTTTTCCTATGGGATTATCACAAGAATCAACTTCTCCTCAGTCCCCCCACAATCACAAAATGTCTCTTCTTGATGTTGTTAAAACAAGAAATTACAGGGGAAGTGATTGAACGATTAGCTTTATTCCGACAGACGAACTCAATCATTTTCTCTATTAACTTTACCATTCTGCTCCAATTGATCCTGAATGATTGAACAAGGTGTATATAAAGATTCTCTGATAACTTTCCGAATGCTTAATCTGTTTCTACCAGTAAAACACCATCATCAAAAGTTCGTCCTTCCTTTTTTAGCTTTTACTTTTATCTGTTAACATCACCAATATATCTGATGATTTGCAAGTAACAGTTTGGCCAATATATATATATTGATTCCCTGCTCTGATTCTCATATATGTTGATTAAATAGAACATGGAAATTTAGTGTTTACGAGTAACATAGTAGAATCTTCTTTTCTAGAGCAGATTGCTTTAATTAAATGCCAAAAATATCATGAATAATTTAATTGGCTTGTATTTTTTAACGGTGAAACTGTAATAAAACTATAAATCGCAGAACTAGGGCTATATTAATAATGCAGAAATATTTTTAAAATTATGCTGTTAGGATACGGCAATTTTTTAATTAAAATTTTAAGGGCTGGTTGCGGATATCTGTGAAAACAACTAAAACAAAAAATTGAAAAATTAAGTACACTTTTCATTTTTTTCCACGCTTTGGCTACAATTATTTATTTATTATAGTGTAGTAAGTTATCTTATATCGACATTTATTACCACAGCAATCATAGTATTTATTAAAAGAGTGAAAAAAGAGAGAAAACAAAGTGAAGTTGGTTCAGAAACTAAGCATCCCTTCAAACTTTGATTTTGTTTTGTAATAATTTAGTCGCAACAGGATACAGTTCTTTCTCGGAGCACTTGGTTTGCTCTTCTTTTATATTGTTATTATGTTTTACCCCATCAGTCGGGATTTACTTTCTTCAAGATGTCTTCTTCGATCGAAATCTGTGAAATAGCTTCAATATATCCCCTTTAGAACAATAAATGCTAATGCTTTATAAAGCAATAGCGTCTTCATCATCAAATCAAACAAAAATCTCGTGATTATGATAATTATCAATTAAGTTATTGTGCATTAAAGTTGATGTCTTGTTTACAATATGCCATGTTCGAAGGAACTAAGGGAAAATATCGAAGGAAGGTTGCTGAAATGTTTCTTTGAATCGAAAAAGAAGGTGAACTTGCTAGGGAAAAACTATAAATGCAAGTTTAACTTGTAATTGAGAACATTAGGTTAAAAAATTAAAATTATGTGGACATTCAACAATTATACGGCAATTTTCAAGTATGCCTTTTTCAGCATCGTTGCAAAATTTCCAAAGGCATAACAGTAATTGTAGAATCATATAAAATGGATTGTGCAAGCCTATTCCCGTAGTTGTTTCGAGTAAAATTGTTTCCAATCTATTTCTGAAGTAAATATAGGTCGCAAGGAAAGGTAAAAATATTTCTTAACATGTTGTCCAAGAACAAAATTTTAAAATAAAGTTTTGATTATTGTATCGTATTATTTAAAGTATACATGATGTTTGGTAAATTATTTGGACAATGGAATCGGAAATATAAATATTAAAAGCCAAAATCATAAGTGGGAGATGACTTTTTGCAACAGAATTAATATTCAGGTCCCTCGCTAAGGATTTCAAATTACTAGCCAGTAAATTATTCAAATATCAAAAGTGTTAGCCAAATTTCAAAATCCTTAGCACAAGGCAACTCTTAAAAATTTTCATGATTAATTTTTTTTCTGCAGAAAACTTTATGTCAAAATGCAAATTTACTATAAATTGAATTATTTAAAAAATGCAAATGAAATCAAAAGTCATTTTACAGTTGAGGAGGAGTAAATGAGAAATAAATAAGGGAGAGGATTAAAAATATCATCTTTTAGGAAAAGAAATAAAAATATGTAGAAGGATAATTTTTTGACAACTTCTTAGACTAAAGCAGTAATATAAGTGACTTTAAGTCTTTTATCTTCTAACAGAAGAATTTTTACTGACTAACTTATTTTTTACTGTCACGAATGTAAAAAAAAAAGGATCACGATAGAAGAAAAGTTAATTGAATCATTTTGCTTTATTCTGTTTTATAGGTTTTTATACTACTCACAGAGATTTTTTTAACATAATTTAGGTGGTAGCTCAACGCGTTCATTGCCAGCCGTGTGGTTATACTGCATCCATTATTGAAACGTGGTTATCAATAAAGATAAAATCAAAGCTACACTTTTCTTATTTTAGTAACCGCTTTAATTTTAAATTTTACTATACGTTTACTTTAATAAACAATATGTTATTGACATGAGAACACATATTTTTTGGAATAACAGTTGGAGGATAATATGCATCTAGATACCACTTATTCTGCTTTATTGACACAAAATTTTCTTCATGAGAGTTTAGTCACGCGATGTCACGTGATACGGCAACTTGCATCTTAATCTATATTTTACGTTTTCGTTTTTTTCTGCCGCTTACGTAATCTCTCTTGTCGCTTACATTATCTGTTATGTTAATATAACTCTATGTTATACTATGTTAATATAACTCTATGTTATACTATGTTAATACAACTCTATGTTATACTATGTTAATATAACTCTATGTTATACTATGTTAATATAACTCTATGTTATACTATGTAAATATAACTCTAATTAGTTATGAGACATATCTAAAGCAATCGAATAAAAAATACAAGATTTGTTCATACTGATGAAGGGGATATATATTTTCCTTTTCAGTACAAAAAATCGTTCCCCAATACTTTCGCAAAGACACAATTTGTTTCCCCGAATTCACGATTTTATCGCATTTGGCGTGGTGGCCCTGAATATTGGATTCAAAATATTTACTTTTGGCTAAATCAACCCTAAATCATCAAATCAACCACACACACCTGAGTATGTGGAGTGATGATCGCTTTTGGTGGTTATTTTGATTAAGGACTGATTTAAAAGCAATTTTGTGGAGGTTGAATTATGTGATTAAATTTGTCTCTTCAAACTATTGCACAATAATTAACTTACATTTACTTTTTTTTTTATAATAGCTTTGCGTAAACCTGCATCCAATCAACATATGCAATTAATATAAAGAATTCGATTATTGCAAAATATTGTTAACGAATGATTAGTTCACAATATTAATAAATTATTTCTTTGGCTAAAAGTATTTAATGCGTTTTTGTAGTAAAGCAAAATTAAATTGGAATATAAAATCAAATCGAAGATGCAGTTGAAATAGTAACCAAACAAAATGATGAGGTTTAAATTTAACTCAATAGAAATGGGAGCTAAATCCGTGAAACTGAATCTAGGTTAAAACTTGAATTTATTAATTTAATTTAGATGTAAAAATCTGCTTATCGTAACGAACAAATAATAATAGAGTTCCCACCCTAGTATAACTTCTTGACTTTGATAAAATTTTATTGTTTTGAAAATCATCAAAGGGCTTAAATAAGCTAGGCATTAGGTGGGACTCTCCGCCTCTCCCCTTGGCTACGGGGTTGTATTATGAAAAGGCTGAACTGTTTGAAAGAATTCTGATACTGCTTCCTTGTTGAAAAATTGCACTTAGAGAAAAAAAAAATTGCTTTATTGAAATGCTCTTAAAATTTTCTCATTACTATTATCCATTTAAAAAAAATAGTAATAAGCAATATATAAGCAATAATCAAATTCCTGTTTTTATGACAAGTACAGAGTTTTTTTCACGTCAAAAAATGATTATTAAGAACATACTTTCAGTATTGATAGGTAAAAAAAATAAAAAAATCGTTGTTTTATTAATTATTTTGCACTAAATTCTTGTTTAATGTATCAAGATAAAAAAATAAATAAAAGTTTTTATTTTAATCAGTTAACGAATAAAAAAATGATTCGATTAAAGTTAATTCAAGTTAAAGTTAGAACTAGACAGGTAGATCACGAATACTTTTTATAGTAGGAGAGTCAGGTGGTTGAAGGAAAAACAAATTATCTGGAATGAATCTGAAATCGAAGTTTTAGATAATTTGCAATGCACTTTGCAATTGTTTTAACAAATATAAATATTAATTGGATATATTCATTAGGATAATTTTTCACCAAAAGGCGTGAAATGGTCATTAGTATTTCACACCATAAACTTGGTTAGTGCGCGTGCGCGGTCACCTTAGCACGTTGTTTTCATCCCTTCGGAAGCAATTCGATCGGATGCTCTGCAGAGAAATTCTCATCAGGGGCAGAATGATTTGCTTTGTTCTATGGTTACTTTTAGATGGAATAGGTAAGAGACGTAATTTCTTTAAGTCATAGGCAAATTTTGAAATAAAAATTAAAATATTGTGTTATTAAGCGATATACAAAATATACTGTCTCAAAATTTTTTTAAACTCCCGGCTGAAAAACATTTGTTTTCATAGCCATGATTTTTTTTTAAAAATTAATTATCCCTAACGTATAATTTTCATTAAATTACTAACTTATATTTGCACGTTAATATTAAAAATATTCATGAATTTTCTATTTAATAGTTTTTAGATTACAATATCTCATTCATATTAAAAAGTGCATTTTATTTCAAAAACACAATAGTTCACGAAATAAATTCATTGTTTTGCTTAGTTAAATATGGCAAATCATTCCAAAGATTATATTGTAATATTGTAATGTACAGAACAAATTGTATAATGTTTATATTAATCGAAAAAGCAATAAATTCTTAAACGCATATATATA